CCTTAGGTTGGGTTGCCAACCTCCAGGTGGTGGATGAGGATCTCCTGCTATCACAACTGATCTCTGGGCAACAGAAATCAGTTTACCTGGGTGCTTTGGAAGGTGGACTCTATGGCACTGAAATCCCTCCCCTCCCCAAACCCCACCCCTCCAAAAAATCTCCAGGTATGACCCAACCAATCCTCCCTCTAAGCTGTGGAGTCTTGTGAGCAAAAATTCTCCTTTGTGAGCTACTGGCATTGAAGCTGTGAGCGAGCCATTTGGCTGCTGCCTAAATTACTTTGCTCTGGAGCCCTCCTTCCGGAGCTAAGGCAAAAATCTGTGAGCCGGGGGCTAAAAAACTGTGAGCTAGCTCACACTAACTCAGCTTAGAGGGAACACTGGTCCCAACCCAGAGCTTGCAACCCTGTCTCTAGGCAGCAGAGATCAGTTCCCCTGGAGAAAATGGCTGCTTTGGAAGGTGGACTCTGTGGCATTATACCCCATCAAAGTCCCTCCCCTCCCCAAACCCCGCCCTCTTCAGGCTCCACCCCCAAAATCTCCTGGTATTTCCCAGCCCAGAGCTGACAAACCCAGCCCCCTGCCTCTGAAGGGTACGATGAACATGAAGCAGAACCTGGAACAAAGAATGTAATGCAAATTAGAAAAGCAGATGCGAGAGAGAGGATCAAGCAAAGGCCTGGGGAAATGAATGTTTTCAGCAGTCACTGGCCCAGGAATAAGGCTGCAGAAGCTGCGGTTTTAGGCCAACCTCCAAGTGAGACCTGGGGATCTCCTAGGTTTGAAGGGCAAACTCTACGCCAGTGGTCATTTCCTGCAGGAGCGCACAGGAGCGGAGCTCCGGCAGTAAAGAGCCCAGGGGGTGGGTACATGCAACAAGCCCCGCCCCCTGCTCCCAGCAGCCCTCAGTCAGAGCAAGAAGCAGCCAGGTAAGTTACAGAGCCCCACCCCCCAGCTCCCCAGTCCAAAACAGTCCAGTGGCACCTTCAAGACCAAGTTTTGTTCAGGTACAAGCTCTCCCTCTTCTGTGAGGGCAGATCTGCACGTTCCCCCCATGACAATAGCTAGCAATCCAAAACAGTCTAGTGGAGCCTGAGCGGTGGGTGTTGCCTTCTGACACATGTCAGGGGGCATGGCATATGCAAATAAGTTATGCTAATGAGTTATGCTAATGAGCTCCTGCACCTCTTTGTCTACAAAATGACCCCTGCTCTAGGTCATTATACCCTGCTGAAATCCCTCTCCTCCCTAACCTCCATCCTTCCAGTCTCCACCCCCAAATCTCCAGGAATTTCCCAACCTGAAGTTGACAACTGTAGTAGTGGTAGAGTGGACCATACCACTCCAGATGATTTGGAATGCACCTCTATGTTAAAAACTCCCTACGAATGGAACCCAAGCACTGGAAGCAAAGTGAGGAGACTGGACTTTTTCCTGGCTACGCTAGTTTTCATTTGCAGGGATTTCTATATATGTGAAGGAATCTCCAGAGGTGGACTCCACCACCCTGAGTCATGTGGCCCATTTTACTCCCTCAGGCCTCTGCTGCCGTGCCCTCTTGCACATGTGAACCAGGCATCATGTACTGTGCAGTTTCATATGTGGCATTTTGTAGCTTTTCACACACCGCGGTGCTGCATAAATAGGGTGATTTTTTTCCTAATAGAGCTTTACATGGGAGGAAAGGCGGCATGGTCTAGCCGGATCTGATCTTGGAAGCTAAGCAGGGTCGGTTCTTGGAAGGGAGACCACCAACAAAGACTCTGCGGGGGAAGGCGGTGGCAAACGACCTCTGCTTCTCACTTGCCTTGAAAGTAGAGTTGCCATCTCCAGGTTGGGAAATACCTGGAGATTTTGGGGAATGGATCCTGAGGAGGGCAGGGTTTGGGGAGGGGAGGGACTTCAATATGGAGCAGAGGTCCATCAGTGGCTATGAGCCACAAGGTATAGCTAGGGGCTCTGGGGCAACTTAGTGATGCTTTGTCTTCTTGGTGCTTGGGGGGGGTCAACAGTGGGAGGGCTTCTCTAGTGCCCTGGCCCCATTGGTGGACCTCCTGATGGCACTGGTATTTCTGGCCACTGTGTGACAGAGTGTTGGACTGGATGGGCCACTGGCCTGATCCAACATTGGCGTCTCTTATGTTCTTAAGTTCAAAGAGCAATAATGCCATAGAGTCCACTGTCCAAAGTGGCCATCTTCTCCATGTGAACTGATCTCTTTTGCCTGGAGGTCAGTTATAATAGTGGGAGGTCTCCAGCCACTACCTGGAGGCTGGCAAACCTACTTGAAAGCCCCTTGCTGAGGTTGCCAAAAGTCGGCTGTGACTCGACAGCATTTTACGCACACGCAATATACTTTCATCCAGGGGTTATTTCGTAGAAAAAGAGGTGCAGGAGCTCATTAGCATAACTTATTTGCATATACCACACCCCCTAACATCACTGGAAGTGTGTCTGAAGGCAACACCCACCACTCAGGCTCCACTGGACTGTTTTGGATTGCTAGCTATTGGGGGGGGGAACGTGCAGATCTGCCCTCATAGAGGAGGGAGAGCTTGTACCTGAAAAAAAACTTATTTTATTTATTTATTTATTTATTATTTCGGTTTATATACCACTCTGACCCGAAGGTCTCAGAGCGGTTTACAGGCAGGGTGCAAGTGCACATTATAATCCCTATCTATGGCCACATCTATCGTATAGGGGTGGGGATTCCCTACTGGCACCCAAGTGGTGGGTTAGCTGCGCTGTTTCTGGCTCCGGCTTCGGTTTTCTCCGGTGGTCCAGTTTGTTCGGCATTTCTCCTGGTGTCAGGCAGGTCTTCTTAGTACGGAGGCTTCTCTTGGCCCGCGGTCCGCATCAGTTCCGGCTCGGCTGCGTCCTCATTCGGCTCCGCCGAGCCTGCGCCTTACGTCACCGCGCTCCTCCATGACTCCCCGCAGCTCCACGCCTCTCCGCAGCTCCTCCTCTTTGCCTCCGCTGGTCGATGTTCCTCTGGCCACCAGGGATCGCCACATCACGCTGCTGTTGCTGTCGCCGCCGTCACCACTGTCGCCGTCGTCGTTGCCGTCGATGTTCCCACCACAACCTCAATGGAGGAGGGTGCCCCCTACCCTTCTATGGGTAGGTACCCATTTATCTACTCGCTTCCTTTATTTAATTAGCACTTGGTAATTAAAACTTGGTCTTAAAGGTGCCACTGGACTGTTTTGGATTGCTAGATATGGCGGGGACGCGCAGATCTGCCCTCACAGAGGAGGGAGAGCTCGTACCTGAAGGCAGGTGGGGGAGGGGGCTCTGCAACTTACCCAGCTGCTTCTTGCTCCTCATGGCCTGACTGAGGGCTGCTGGGAGCAGGGGGCGGGGCTTGTTGCATGTGCCCACCCCTGGGCTCCTTACTGCCGGAGCTCTGCTCCTGTGTGCTCCCGCAGGAAATGACCCCTGGTTTCATCCCAAGATCACAAAACTCCTTGGCTTTTAAAGAACTGGTCCACATGTGAGCATTTTACAACTGCTGTTTAGAACACTGCTACGCTATCGACGTGCTGTGACTGAACTGTGAAAAGCTGGTATCACTTTATTATTTGGGAAGAATGATATGAGTTTGGCTAGTTACAGTTAAACTATTGGGCAGTAAATTTTGTTTTAATTCTGTTACGCTTTTGACATGCTGCAATTGAGATGTGAGAGGTTGGCCTTGTAGAAGAAAACTTCCAAACAGGAGTGGGGCTCCCTATCTCATCTTCTCTATTCATCAACAGCTCTTTATGATCACTATGAAGATTTACAACAGTTCTCAGTAAATTACTGCCAAGTTGGATTTTTTTAAGTTGCTGACTTGTTGTGTAATTTATCAGACTGGTACTTTGTGATATGTAAATTCCTCCAACTGATTTTTCACTTAGTATTTAATGTTTGGTGTCAGCGGCACTGTAAAATAAATCTTTATAATTATAGAATAATTTTTATGTGCTACTCTGGAGCCACACACGTAGTACTTTTTGTTGTATTATAACGTGGCTTGGCTACTATTGTATCCACTAATTTTATCTGTGACAAGTCAGAGGGTATGCAAACACGCTGATGCAGCATGCGGAGAAAACAGGTGTTTTTATTGCTTATATCCTTAATAACCATGTCCTCTGTTAAGTCGCTCACTTAACAAAGCAGTCAGAGAGTGATTCAGCAAGAACACAACTTTATTCTTCTGGACCTGCAAGGCCGGTGGGAGTGCGAGGAAGCCCTGCCAAGGCCCTCCCTGGCCCCAGGCAGGCAGGGGTGGGGAGAGGCGGGGAGGAAGCAACTTACCCTCCCTCTTCTCCTGCCTCCTCCTGGCTGAATGAGGGCTGGAAGCGGGGCGGCCGGAAGCAGGGGGTGGGGCTTCATCATGTGCCCCGCCCCCCTGCACCTCACCCAGGGGAACTGTGTTCCCCCGCGATCCCCCCCGAAATGACCTCTGCTTATATCTTTAAAAACCATGCCCTCCTTCCATGGTTGCATTCGTGGTTCTTCCACACACATAGACGCACCACTTTTCCAGCATTCGTGGTTCTTCCACACACACAGACGCACCACTTTTCCGTCACAACAGTCCTGTGGAGGAGATTACGCAGAGGGAGGGCGACTGGCCCAGAGACAACCAGTGAGCTTCGTGGCCAAATGGATACTGGAACCCCAGTCTCCAAAGTTACAATCCAAATTCATAGTCCTAGTTATGAACCCCAACAACAACCAAAAAAAGGCCAAACACCCTGTGGCCGGTGCAGATGATCAGAGCTTTTCAATCTGGGAAATATTTTGAACAGAAAAATTATCCATTTGTTCCTGAGGCACTGATATCAAGAGATGACTTCTGATTATGGACAGAATAAATATTCTCTAACAGGGCTATTTTTGGGCAGGAACGCACAGGAACGGAGTTCCGGCTGGCTCCTGAGTTGGCCACGCCCAGCAGGAACGCATTAGCATAATAGGCCACAACCAACAGCAGGAACTCATTAGAATTGGCTACATTAGGGGTGTGTGGCCTAACATGCAAAGGAGTTCCTGCTACAAAAAAAGCCCTGGTTTTGACCACAAACAAGGTAAACAGAATAAAAAGCAAAAGGTGGGTGTGGCTGGATGACCACACTTCTGGTAACATGGGAATGTGGCTTAATATGCTAACGAGCGGTGCAGTAAGGGGTGTGGCCTAATACGCTAATGAGTTTCTGCTTCTGGGTGTGGCCTATTATGTTAATGAGTTCCTGCTGGACTTTTTCTACAAAAAAAGCCCTGCTCTTTAACGTTCCCTAGATGCTGCTCTTTTAATTAAGAGCCAGTTTGGTGTAGAGGTTAGGAGTATGGACTCTAATCTAGGAGAACCGACTTTGATTCCCCACACCGCCACATGCAGCTGCTGGGTGACCTTGGGTAAGTCACAAGTTCTCTCAGAGCTGTTCTCTCAGGAGCAGTTCTCAGTCAGAGCTCTTTCAGCCCCATCTACCTCACAGGGTGGATGTTGTGGGAGTGGGCAAGGGAAATGAGATTGTAAACCACTCTGAGACTCCTTCGGGTAGTGAAGGGTGGGGTATAAATCCAATCACTTCTTCTGTTCTCTCTTTTTTAAAAACTGTCTCTCTTGTACAATACAATGTGCCAGATGTCACCTTCCAAAGAATTTCTCTCCATTCTAAGCAAACCAGTTTGCTACTGTGGTTAGAATGTTGGGCAAGGCCCTTGGAGATCTGAGTTCAAATCTATTAAATATTGGGTTCAAGACACATAGCAGTGAACAGCTATACTTTATTAAGTGACTAGTAGCAAAGCCCATTGTAAAAGGAATACAATGAACGCTAGCAAGATCTCGGCCTCACCCTCCTCCTTGGCCACGTTCTCATCTATGGGGCTGGTCCTCGTCTGCACGCAGCCTGCCCTGCCACCTGCAACCGTACGCAGGCGATGATGACCGGTGCGGCGGCAGCATGGTTGGCCTCGGCCTCCTTACCCTGCGGCTGCCGGATCATTGGGCCTCTCCGTTGCCTCGCAGCACACCGAGGGCGAGAGGCTGGGTGCCACTTCTATGGGCTCGCCACCTGGCTGGCTCCCTGCACCCTGGTGCAGCCAATAACGACCGCTGCAGCGCCCACTGGAGCGTTAGAGGACAGCCCTCGCCAGAGGTGCCCGTAGGCTTCTGAAGTCCCCCCGGGGGGCGGGGAAACCCCCGCCCCAGAGGCCCGTTCCCCACCACCGGCGGATCGGGCCCCGGGGGGAACCCCACCTTGACGTGCATGTCCCCCGGAAGTGATGCGACCTAGAGGACAGCCCTCGCCAGAGGTGCCCGTAGGCTTCTGAAGTCCCCCCGGGGGGCGGGGAACCCCCCGCCCCAGAGGCCCGTTCCCCACCACCGGCGGATCGGGCCCCGGGGGGAACCCCACCTTGACGTGCATGTCACCCGGAAGTGATGCGAC